GGCGCAGCCCCGGCCCCGCCGCGGCCCGGCCCCGCCGCCAGGCCCGCCCTCCGCCCGCTCTCGCCTCCGCTCCTCCGCAGCCTTCCCTGCCCAAGACCTGCTCGCTGCCAGGTGACGAGCTTTCTCATTACAGATACAGCGAAGCGGCAACGCCATCCTTGGCACCCACGCAGCCCGGCTCACCGACCGGGCAAGCACCGCCAGCAAGATCAGCGAAACGCCTTCTGTGCTTAGCGAAACGGGCGTAACTTACCCCAGCAGCCCTGCAACCCAAGCATCAACCACGTAATATCCTCCTTACGTGTGTGCGAGGACACGATGCCTGCTCTGGATGTTTCCCCAGGCCAGAAACTCAAACGAGGTAAATGTCGAATGAAACAGTTTCCTCTAACAGCACTTACCTCAAACGAGGTAAATGTCGAATGAAACAATTTCCTCTAACAGCACTTACAGACGGCAGGATTGACCTGTAGGATGGAAAACTGGAAGGACTTTCCCTCTGGTGTCAGTATCTTAGCTAGTAAGAACCGCATGAAATACTGGAAATGTTGGTCCGGGATGAAAGTTACAGACTTCAGCTATAAACTTCTGAAGTTCTTCTGTGTTCATTTGAGATCTGTATTTGCACAGCACAAAAGAAGATAACATCTGTTTATACAAAGAATTTATTTTATACACATTAACCTACAAAATATACAGCAATTAAAAATAATGGATGGGCAGAAGACTTACTGGAAAAATTCCAGGAGACAATTCTTAATGTCTCAACTGACAAAGTTACATCAATAGGCTGCCTTTAAAAGCCAGTCTACCTTGTAGTAGGAGTTACTGAAGTCACAACAGCTTTACAGTTTTAGTCAATTAAAAGAGTTTGAAACAATTAAAAAGGCACCTTGAACAGCTTAAACTCTTGAAACTCCTTACAATTTTAGTTATTCAAAAGTTACACTTTGTGCGTATAACATCCACACCTTGTTTTTAACACTCTGAATAACAAATTGTGTTATTTTATTGTGGCACTCTTTATATTTTCTTCACCAAATCTGAAGTTACACATTTGCAATACTAGTTTCATATTCAGACTATCACAGCATAAAAATCCACTCAAAACAGTCATGTGGACTTAAGATACAGTACAACCTTACAATCAGGAAGATACAAGCATATTTAAGACAATTTTTAAAATATTAAAATCTTAAAATAGCAGTGTTGTGAACCAGATCAAACAGGGAGCTACGTATGACCACAATGAAAGCGGCTGGTGCACTATATACACAATTTGACAAATGTGATCCTTGATATATTTGCAAAGTTCTTAAACAGTAAGACCAGTTTTCTCCAGCAGAGACGGACAGTCTTTCTGCAAGCCTTTTAACCAGTTCCAAAAAGAATGACCAGGAGACAAGGACAGCTATAATGAGTGAGTGTGCTAATAAAACATCATGGGAATGGTAAGTGTTCCTTTCAATACTGTTCATGAGGACAAAAAAAGCCATACAGCGAATATTACTTCTTTTCCTGAACATTGGCATCAATCTGCTATTTACAATAGCTTACAAAGACATATAGCACAAATGAGGTTTGATTTTCAAGTTCAACTTCATAGCCGATTAACATACTTCACCTGTATGTTCTGTTCTAGCTGAAGTAAAAAAGTGACACTAATACTGAAAAAGAGGTAATCAGAAGTAGCAAAAGCACTGATAATATGATAACAAAGAATTTGGGTAAATATTCAAGAAAGTAATATTGCACACTTTCACTGTCAACTGTGTAAGACTTTCACTCCCAGGTAGCGACAACCAGTCCTGTTTGGTTTTTTGCTGTCACACTACCTTGAAAAGGTCATTTTTGGTTTCCCTGGCAGTGGAAAAAACTGAAGGAAGACAGCCCTTATTGAACATGAGGCCTAGGTTTCAAAATTAATTTTCCAGTCTGCAAGACAGAAAAAGAAATAAAATTTAGACCCTGAAAGTTGAGCCCAACAATTGCACTTCAAGTTCAATTTTACAGGCTAAGTTTAAAACGACACACAGAACAATACTAAGTATTCTACATTCCAGTTTTACAGGCACACAGAATTTGTTAAGGTGTACACAAGTGCTGTTCAGAAAAAAAAACCCTGTGTGCCTTTTAGAATTATTTGCATTTTCTTAAAAAGAAGGTTTAGGCAATGAACCACTAACACTTACATCATCACAGGACATATTATATTCTGCCAAAACAGTTCGACATCGGGCTGCTATACTGTGTGGATTGTGTCAAGGAAAGCAGCTAATGCTTGTACACAGAGTAAGTAAAAACTGAAAAAGCAGTATTAGCATAGGCTTCAATAACAGCAGTAACTATGACACTTTTAACCTGACAAACACGTTTGAAGGATACATTGATGGTGCCACCACTCTTTTATGTATTCCAGCAAAGAACAAGCCTATTAGGGTAATACAGCTAATTGTGAAAAACGGGTGATTCCAAAGTGATGTGAAAAATGACACCTAGGAAAGAAATCAGATTAGTCCCACTATATACTTTCTAAAACATACAGAAAGTTGCTGTCTAGTCCACTTAATTAAAAAAACCCAACAAACCTGCTCCTAGCCATTTCTACGTACTTGTGAACAATTCTTTAGATAAGCATTCAAGGTGTAGCTAGCATTTTGGTAGGCATTGTCCCAGGACATATTCCACAACAATTCCAGACAGCTTGAGAGCTTAACTAAAAATGATCTCCCAGTTTCATGGGAGAACCACCTTTCGCTTTTCAAGATACTATACCACTTGACTGCAACACCAAGCTATGAAGCAGACTACGTTCGGGATTAGCCTGATCTTTACCTTTTGTGTCTCCGGGTCTATTAACCAGTTCCAAGCACCAGTTGCTGTGCAGACTGATACCACTATCAGAATCACTGATAAAGAAAAGAACAAGAGTCATAACCAGTATACCTCACTCCTATTAAAGAGCATTTATTTTTCAACAGCAGCTCTTAAGCGTTTATTTCTTCTCCCACTTCTGAGGGAGGAAAAGGTTCTACTTGGAAGGTAGAAATGAAAATAGGCAAAGAAACTTCTATTATGTGAAATCGTAAAGATTCTGTACAAGTTTCCTGGATGGAACAAGTAGGTACCAAAATCTAAATTCTGTCAAGTAAAAACATCCTGATGCTTTGAAGAAATGAAAGTTTGTAAAATAACATGGTTACCAAAAACCTGAGTTGGAAGACTGGAGTAAGAGTTGTACCAAATGTTCAGTATGCTATTTGAGCTTATGCAGTCTGGGCAACAGAAATGCAGCACCGTTAAATTGCAGAGCAGAACTAAAGCTCCTATCCCGCTAGCTCGTCTACATAAGAAAAGCCTGAGGCGTTAGCACCAGCAGTTTCAGTGGCACATCTAAGTTATGTTACACTCCCCGCCCCAATCAACACGATTACAAGCAAGGAAAGCTGACATAGAGAAAAAACCACAAAATTTAAACAGGAGTCAGAAGGCAAGTTAGCATTAGCACATGAAGATTAACAAAAACCTCTATGCATCCAGAATGACTTAGGAAGAATAATCAATTTGCTGTAAATGGATAAGGCTAGATACATATCAGAGTAATACAAGATACTAGACTGATTTTGAGAGACTACAAAGGGTTGGGGAACAGTGGTTGATGGAAAAAGAAAACAGAACAAATATAAAGGTAGAGAAAGCTCATATTCTTTTGCACACCCATAAAGCCCTGCATCTTTCATTGGACACTTGGCAGTTCTGAGTGTTTTCTGTGGAGCCTGAAGTTCTGGATGCAAATAAAGTCTTTTACCGGGGGTAAGGAAAACAAAAACCAACACAAAAAAAGAAAAGACCCAGAGTTACCAGCCCTTAGGATCATAGGAAAGAATCAGACAACAAACCCCAGATATTCATTAAATACTACTTTCAGGTTTGTAACACTGCTAGAATTTACTATGGAGTTGCATATTCCTTATTGATATTATAAAATTAAAAACAAAATAAAAAAGTAACCCTAAGAAATTATGTTTTCAAAAGAAAGTTAGAAATGATCTATCAAAAGCATAGAGCTTCTTCTCTCTATATTTTTTTTCCCAGGAGGAAAAGTTAACATTGAGTTAAATACCTCATTATAATTAAAAAGTCCCTCTTGTATGTGAATTACAAAACTAGCAAAACAAGCAGTTAGGAAAAAAAGTTAGCTAGTGAACTCAATACTAGTTATGCAAACCTCATTTACATATGCTTAGAAGTTTCCAGTACTTTTTTTTTTTTAATTGTATCTGACAGTAAATTGCAATTCTGGAAGCGAAATGCAGTCCTACAGTAGGTGCCCACAAGTTGTGTAGATCTACTTACAAATATCTGCTTGCCTCCTAATTACTCTGAAACAAGGGGGTTTGGGGTGGGTTGTTGTTGTCGTTGTTGTTTTTGCTTTTTAAATAGTCATTCCTCCAGTTCCTTCATTTGAAATTAACCTCTTGGACCCTCAGGAGAAAAGATGCTATTTTATACGTTCTAAAAAATGTCCGTATTCTCTGAGTATGGAAACTTCAGCAGAATCTTAGTACAAAAAACCAGTCCGTTTCCACCATGGACTACTGATCCCAAAGTCGGCAGCATATCTGGGGTATTTTTTGCCTTCCCCCACCTTCAAACTTTCCTGTTAGAACAGAGATGAGGACATATTCTGCCCTCATGGCACACTGCTGTAACTATTTCACCTTCAATTTTATAGGGACTATCTAACCCAATCATATTTAGTTCAAGTAACTATAGCGACTGTCTGGGAAGTCTGAGCCTTCAAAAAAAACCAACAACAAAAAAACAAACCAAACCAGAAACAAATACAACAACTTACTGTCCCAACTATTTCCAGAATAATTCAGCCTTGAGCTAATTCAATCTTGACCTCATTTTTCTAACTCTGGCTAAAGTATTAATTTGTTATCTTGTATTAGCTTGTTGCTGAGTGTTTGAATATATGCCACAGAGTTTAAGCACAGATTTTTGTTTGAGCAAACATAAATCAAAGATACACACTGGTAAATCTAAAAAGCTTGAAAGAGAGAATCCTATTTATCCCTTGGAACATCAAACTTACTTCTCCAACGTCCTGTAGCTGGTTGCAAACATGCAATATATTCAGTAAGTCTTCTTTCAAAAGCTTTGAGATCTGGGGAGGATGTATATCAAGCATAATTAGATCTTCATCTATTTAGTCAAATTCTAGTGTAAAAGATAAAAGGAATTCACTTTCCCCCTGTGCACACCCATTTCTTAAACAGGCAGACAAAAACCAATGCAATGATCATTTAGATGTAATAAAAGCACAGTCGAAGTAGCTTGACACAACTTTTAGCTAAAAAGTTACAGTAAATGCAAGAAACATTCCCACTTACAGAAAAGAAAATCGATACAGTTGAGAAAACAAAGTATTTTAGACATCTTTAAAAATACTGAGAGTTAGATTTAGAATAGCTTAAATAGCCCCTCCACACAGAAAAAAAGTATCACATTTTGGAGTATTAAGTACATCAGGAAACCAATTTCTATTATCTATATAATGGTAATTAAAAAAAAAAAGTTGGCCATTTGCCAGCTGTCCAAGGGATTATTTGTAGCAGCGTGGCTTTGATGACTGTTTTGTAAAACTTTTAGTGCCATGATATATATACACACACACGCACGTTCGTATGTAAAAATCCACAGCAACCACTAGCACAACAATCTTATTTTAATTCTTTTTTTCTTTAAATAGATCTTTCTTCTTATTGTTATCATTATCCCATGGTCTTTCCATTGAAATTGCTGTTAAATGCCGAGCAGCATTGCAAGTTCATGCTCCTAATGTGTTTAAAAAAAAAAAAAAAATCTTAGCCAACCACCTAATGTTTGTCTACAACGAGCTGTTTCACCTGAAGTCTATGTAAGATTTAAGCTTCTGTTCAACAAGGTCAATATTTGACAACATTCCAGTCAAAGCTAGAATTCTACCTGGAGTTAAGTTTTTATTAGCATAAACTTAACTTTCAGCTAAAGTGTTTCAGTTAGCATCACTCTGGAAGTTTTTTCCTTCAACTTGCAACTATTGCTAAATTATTCACCATAATAAAGCAATTAGAGAATAAGATTAGAAGAAATATACCTATTATGATCATTACTAATGCAGTTTTCCAAACTGTAAATTTACTCCTAAGTGGTTTGCAGGTGAATTCATGGGGGAAGATTACAGCATCTTGACTTCAGCCACAGAACAGCTAACTAGTCTTAATTACTGCCAACAGCCCGGTAGTTATGGCCTGTCCTCCACCTCCCTGCTGGGGAAGTTAAGCCACTGCCAGCAATTAAATCTAATTAACTGTTCCCTCACTAGCACAAACCCCTACAACTAGTCATTGAAGTGAGAGGGGGAAATATGAGGCATCCCATGAAAACCTGCTATTTGAGAAATAGCAGCCTGTAGGCATAAAGTCAAGCTACTGGTAACAAAGTTCTCAAGAAAACCCTCGTATAACGTAGGCAGCATTAAAATAAAAAAACAGAAAAAAAAACCCTTTTAAGAAAACAGGAACTTAAAGCTTTAACCCATGTTCTAAGAACCTTCTCTGAGTTTCTCACTTCGGCACCTGGCAGCTGTAACTAGCAAGGCACACTTCTTACATCCCTACGGCTTGTACAGACATAGCAACAAAGCCGTGACGACACCGGACTATCATTTTTTGTTGACATGTCTACCTCTAGTATCTGCTACAAAACAGCTGGTAAGTCTGAGACGCTGATGCATTTAAAAGGTCTCTACCAGTCTTATTTTTGGACACTAAAAACTCCTTTCAGGGTTCCGACATCCTGTAAACTGCAATTTCAAAGAACTTGTAACCCGAACAATCAATGTTCTCAGACAAGAGAGGGCTATTTGAGGTCACGTTCTTCAAACGCAAGAGGAGCCTTGGCACAGTGTAACGCCTAGTGTGCTAGGTGGGACTCAAAGCTGTAAGAAATGTATTCCACATAAAAACCCGTGAGCGGAGAAGTAGCTACCGCAGCACAAGCAGATTTTAATAAGCCGAAGTCGAGAAGTCTTGTCGAGAAGTGGCACCGCAAGTGAAAGCCCACTGGGCAGCTCCCTCCTCCCTAGGGGAGGAAGGCGCCTGGCGGGCCCGCACACGGAGCCCCTCAGCACAGGCCTTCCCTGCGGGCCCCGCTCTCCGCCTCCGCGGGGCGGCCGGAGAGCAGCAGCAGCCCGTCCCCGAGCCTCAGGATGCGGAGACGGCACCAGAGGCCCCGCCCCAGCTCGCCTGTCTGGG